TTTTGTGTTGTGTTGACTTATGTTTCAGGCCCAGTCGAAACTCAAATGATGTGTTTAATTAAGTTCGTTGTCAAACAAATCAGAATTCGGGAAACAAACTGATGGACATTGAGAATAATTATGTTCCATGTCTTTGTCCACACGATATCTTGTAGACTGGAGGATTGTATTGCCCCTTATCTAAAGGACACGTCATCGACTTGGTTAGAGTTCGACATCGGCTTTTGAAAGCTAAGATTGCTAATACAATTAGGAAGTCATACTTTCAATTTTAGTTATTTGACTTATCCAAGTAGGAGACTATTGGATTAGGTGTCTAAGCCCATATCTATAATTGGTATGTACATGATCTGATACTAGCATGGTCCTTTTGGGTTGCCTTCACCATAGTAACTTGACAGGACGAATTTGGAGAGAAAGGTTATTTAATGATTTATTAATATATTATAATAATAATATATTAATTGGAAATCAAGTTATTTAATTAGAAATTAATTTGGTATTAATTTTGGATTAAAGGAACTGATTAAAAGTAAGGGGACTGGTTTGCAAATCACTAATAGTTGCAAATTGGGCTGTTGGACTTCCTTAGAATGGGTTGGATGAATTTCTATACGGAGGCCCTATAGAAATCGTCTAAGGCCTTCCAAAAGGGATGTTCATGGGCTTCATGGAGCCTAAGTAAGGAATTAGGGGTTTCCCTAGAAACCCTAGCAGCCACAAGTATATAAAGGCACCTAGACCTCTTGCAGTCGGCCACTACTTCACAAGGAAAAACCTTAGTCGATTATTGCCCCTCTCTCACTCATCATTTGCTTTGGTGTTTGTGATTCCGTTAGAGGTGCAACACATGAGGCACTCAAGCTTTCAAGAGTTGAGATCATCATTGGATTACTTGTTATTATGAGATAACAAGGAAGGCAACACTAAAACCCTAGTTTTGATATTCATTTCTGAATTGTATGCTAGTATTAGGGTTGTTGCTTTGGAAATTCTATTTGCATGTATAACTAGAGAACAACTAAGATACAAAGCAATTAGGTTTGCATGAACACATAGGAATGTTATTGTGCTCAAAACCCATCAACAGCTGCAGCCCAAAACAGCTTCCTGAACTCCAACCCAATGTAAGCCTTTCTGAAATCTGCATATATGTGTCGGGCACATTGCCGGTGCTATACATGTGGCAATATATCTTTAACAGATTGCAACAAACCCAATACAAAAACCATCATACATGTAAGTATTTATAAGTAATTTGAAAAGGATTAATATGTTATAAAGAAACTTACATTATGTTGGATCTGATATAACTACCAAGCCCCTTCCATCAATAAGGTCTAGATCACCACTGAGTAGCTCAAGGAACCAAGTCTAATTGGACATATTTTCCACATCAACAACAACCCAAGCAATTGGATAGACCTGGTTGTTAGCATCTCTACCAATGGCTATTAACAGTTCACCCTTCACATTCCCCTTTAGAAAGCACCCATCAAGCCTAATTACTCTCACATACCCTATTTTCTAGCTAACACTTATTGGTTTGAAACAAATATAAAACCTATGAAAATAATTATTTCTATATGGATTGGTTGTTACACCAACTTGACATGTGGACCCTGGGTTTGAGCTTAAAAATTCATGGGCATAATCCCATATCCTTGCATAATGCTCAGTGAGTTTACCTTATATTAAATTTTTGGCCCATTTCCTTGCCCTTCTAACTTATCCTATATATACCACACACCTATACCTTTGTCTGATGTCATCAATAATTTCCTAAAGTTTCATCTTTGGCTTTTTTGCAATTTCAGTTGCATAATGTCTTCCAATTCATTCAGCGGAAACAATGGATCCAAACTTAAACTGTGTAGAACATTTAAGGTCACCATTCATAGCTTTGATCTGAAAAGATCTTTCCTTGTACATCCGTGCAACATAAATTCTGAAAGGGCATTTATTCTCCTCCTTTCTCTTGCCACATCTAGCTATAATTCTTTAGTATCACATTTTTCAAAGTATATTCTGTAACTATGTGATAGTGCATAATTGGTGACAAAAAATTTTAGTTGGGCAGGAGATTTAAAGATGTTACCAAGCTTTGGTACCATCTTGCCTCACTTGGTGGTTGGGTCATGAATTCTATAGTTGTTTTTCAATACCTCCTGTTCGTCTTCATCACTCTACCAATCAGTAGCATGGCACACTTGTGCTCTGATTTCATCTGCCATACTAGAATTTCGTAGGTTTTCATCACTTAATAGAACATTTAGGAAGATATCCTTACATTTATCAAGTGTGGACACAAATTCTTTCTCTATTCTGGTCCATGTAAATGTTGTGGAGTTCAAAATCCATTTGACTCAAGCCAGAAAATGGCTCACGTATGCCAGCAAAGGGTCGGTGTACCTTTTGTCCGATCAAGCCATTACACACTCCTGCGTAAACACACTAAGTTTAGGAACCTATTTCAAGAAATGTTGAATGTAAACATACCAAGATCATGACCTGTAAAAACCTTAGTTCTCAAAGAACACTTTTACCCTAATCGTCTCCAAAAAAACCCCACTTTTTTCTCTATGTATACAAAATTTCAGCCGATGAAATGGAAAAAGGTGAAAAGTGATCGGGATAAAGAGGGAGGATGAGGATGCGATAGTTTAACTTACCTAACGGACTTGGAGTTTTCTCCCAAACGACGTTAATGAGCCTTCCAACTAACCAAATGGTAACCGGTTAATTAAAGGGAAACCGGTTACTAGCCAAAATAAAACACATTAAATGCATGTATGAGGTAAAAGTGAACATAAATTTGAACTTTCCGGAAATCCATCAATTTTGTACAAATTTAAGGGTTTTTATGTTGTTAGCCCAATTAAATAAATAGTTCAACAATTTACTAATCAATTAAATACTTATGAAATAGTTCAACAATTTACTAATCAGATAACCTTGGTTAGAAACACTTGAATAATATTTGCCAGCTACTATATATGGACAATCTTGACTTAAGCTAGTCAAACCCTCCTTTACGAATTATAAACCGTTATTGACCATGCACGTCTCTCTTCAATCACAACCACAGCAAGCTAGAACTCGGGACCACCGTGTAGCGTCCAAGAAGGGTTGAGCAACATTCAAAGAAATTGTCCCGGCCACTTGACTAACAAAAACCAAGAATTCTGAACATATCTGAATGTATTTTTTTTAAATAATTAATTAATCTTGGTTTTCTCCCAATGTTGGTTCTTCTTGCTTTAGTTCTTACATCAGTAATGGTTCATGCCCAGAATGATCAATCAGGTACTAACTAAACCATGCATATTTTCTCTTAAATGCCTGCTAAATCTCGTAATCAACCACTTCCCATTTCAGACATCATAAGCATTGACTGTGGGATAACAAAAGGCTCAACATACACCGATTATTCAACTGGCATAAGCTACGTATCAGATGCTGAATTCATAGATAGTGGCGAAATACATAACATATCGGTTGCTTCTGATAAACAGCTTAGCACCCTTACAAGTTTTCCCAACAACACGAGAAACTGTTACACCCTACGACCAAAAAATGGAAAGGGTACCAGGTTTCTGATAAGAGCAAGTTTCATGTATGGGAACTATGACTTCAAGAACCGACTTCCAGTATTCGATGTCTATCTTGGACCTGATTACTGGGACACCATGAGATTTAATTCGTCATCTCAACCAAGAACCATGGAGATTATACATGTATTGTTATCAGATTTCATGCATGTTTGTCTTGTAAATACAAATCGAGGAACGCCTTTCATATCATCCATCGAAGTAAGGCCTCTGGCAAATGATATGTACAACGAAACTGATGCTGGATCTTTATACGCTGCTACACGTGAAAATTTTGGATCGAAATCTACAACAGTCAGGTTAAACTTTTAAGATTGTTCCTGAAAATTTCATATCTAAATTAACCATCTTTACTATTATTGTTACTAGAAAATGATATATCGAGGAATTAGCAGAGTCGTTAATAGATAATTGAGACAATGGCAAAAAGGTTTGAAAGAGATATTAAACAGGCATAACTTTTAATCTGTCGCGAGTTGTGAGGCTCGTTTTAACGGAAAGAAAGCTATGAATGGGCCGGAGCCCCAGACAAACTAACTTTGGCCCAACCGTTGCCCCCAATTTTCTCTATTTTGACCTTACAATTGTGAGTTATTGATTTAAATTATTGTGCTTTTATCTAAAGGATAAAATATGCGATTTCATGATTTTTTTTAAAGTGAAAACTTTAATAAATTTTCTACATATTTGTCTTATAATCAATTTAACCATTTTATATTTTTTTTATTCAATTAAGTCTCAAATAGCGATAATCGTATTGAATTTAACCCTTTGACCCGTTCAACGGGTCATCCAAGTTTCAAAAATTACATTTTCGGCCCAGATTTTAAAATTTATTACAAATTTGGTCCAAAATTTACACTTTTGTCGCAGATTTTAAATTTTTTTACAAATTTGGTCCAATATTTACCCTTTTTGCCCAAATTATAGGATTTTTATTATGTATTCATCCTAACTTTAGTTTTCTTTACAACTTTTTTTCTCAAAAGTTTGTTTCTAATATGTTTTTTCCTTAAAACTCATATTTATACAAAAAAAAAAAAAAACATATTTTCACATGAAAATCTTTTTTTTTCTATATAAAAACTTTTTTGTATATGAAATATCTAATTATAAAAATAGGTTTGGATTATTTGTGTGATTTCTCTTAAAAAATCAATTAAGATATTAAAGGTAACCCTAAATTATACTATTAAATTATAGTTTGTCAAAAACTAGTTAGACTCATTTTAATATTATTTATTTGTTCTTTAATCACATTTATAGGAAAACTTTAAATAATAGAAGATGCTACATATTGAAAACTTTATATTTTTTGTTTCTCACTGAATACATGTTCATACATATAGTACATCATCACTTTGGATTTTTTTATTTAAAAATCGGATTCATGTGTCAATTTTTTTTGTTGTAATAACAAAAAATAACTATCTAGAATGGAGCAATTGTCATTTGTCGATAAGAAGGTTTTTAGCAGAAAATGGCATTTAACAAATGTAAAAAAGTATTACAAACATTGATAGTTACAACTCCTACTAAAATCAACATGGATTGTCATATATGAGATTAGAACATCTTTACATACATTTTGTCATATATATGTGATCGAATGTATGATTTAATTTACGAAGATCCAACAGATTGAAAAATACATATAAACAACTATATTAAAATCTCATAGAAAAAAGAATATACACTAAATAGAATACATATTAAAATCTCTATATTAATAGTATAATTTAGGGTTACTTTTAATTTAGGGTAACTAGTGTAACTAGTTTTTGACAAACTATAATTTAATACTATAATTTAGGGTTAATTTTAATTTCTTAATTGATTTTTTAAGAGAAATCATACAAATAATCCAAACCTATTTTTTATAATTAGATATTTCATATACAAAAAAGTTTTTAAAAAAGCTTTTATATAGAAAAAATAAGATTTTTATGTGAAAATATTTTTTTTTTTTAATATGAGTTTTAAAGAAAAAAACATATTAAAAACAAAATTTTGAGAAAAAAAGTTGTAAAAAAGACTAAAGTTATGATGAATTCATAATAAAATTCTAAAATTTGGGCAAAAAGTGTAAATTTTGGACCAAATTTTTTAAACAAAATTAAAATCTAGGCCAAAAATGTAAATTGTGGACCAAATTTGTAATAAAATTTGAAATCTGCCCCGAAAATGTAATTTTTGAAAGTTGGATGATCTGTTGACTGGGTAAAATTGTTAAATTGAATACGATTACCAGTATTTGGGACTTAATTAAATATATATATATATATATATATATATATATATATATATATATATATATATATATATATATATATATATAAGAGCTAAATCGATTATGAAACCAATATGTAGGAACTTTATTGTAATTTTCCCTTTCTTAAATCATGTGATTGATTAGGCACTTACTTTTTGTTAAATTTAATTTTTGAAAATATGAAAATGCCTGTAAAATTTAGATTCATCATGTATAAACGGTTAAATATAAGGGTATCCACAATACATTAAACTCAATAGAGTTTAACCAACTGTTACATCATTATTTTTTTAAATTTTATATAACTCTATCAATTTCATACAATGTGTTGAACTCTATAGAAAATTACAAAAGTTAATTTATAGTATATATATTTAAAAGTTGTATCAAGCAAAGTAGCAAAACATGAGAAAGTGTGTATGAAAAATAACAAACATTTATACCCTTTACATTTGATATTTTTGGTTTCGTTACGTCCGAAGCTGTGAAACTACTCAATATTGTCCAACGGGTCATGCATAGTAATATTATAACTCCAAAATATATAGATGTTATTTTTAAAATAATTTGTTTTGTCATCCAAAAGGGGGTTGCAACACAGCATGTTGCTCCTTTACCCGTTATGTCTATCTAAATCTTTCTTATAGAACTTAAATATAATATATTTAAGAGTTAAAAACTTTACTTAGTTTAGTGTTTATTGAACTCTAAATCTATTGAATGCTAATGTGACATCTAATTATGGTGGAGTTTAATCCATTGAATGAAAAATAGATTTACCATATACAACACTAAGACATTGACATCAACTTGATTTAATAAAATCTTTCTGGAACCCATGACACCTTTGCCATTGTTACTTCTAATTTGCAGCAAACTTCACTAACTTCACTATTCTTGTTTCTTGAAATAGGTATGAAGCTGACAAGTATGATCGACTATGGGGTCCAAGTGAACCTACGACACCTGATTATATTTCCTTAAACACTTCATATAATGTTTCTGCTGGTTCATCCCCAAACTTACAACTACCATTTGATATCATGGGTAGTGCTGTCACGCCAAAAAACCTGAATCTTTCATTTGACATCGAGTGGGATCCTATTAATACAAGCGACACGTTTTTCATTTACATGCACTTTGCTGAGATTGAGCAACTAAAAAGAAACCAGACTCGTGAATTCAACATTTATCTAAATGGGAAGCTATGGTATGAACATCTGAATCCACTAAATCACACAACAACCACTATCCCTAGCAGTGAACCCGAGGCAATAGCATCAAGGTATACACTCACGATAAATAAAACTAGAAATTCAACCCTTCCTCCAATCATCAATGCTCTCGAGCTTTATGTGTTAAAGAAACTCCCACAAAAGCAAACAGAAGATCAAGATGGTAAGCATATGATTTGTCTCTTGAGTTAGAATAAAGTACGTTTACATTTGTAATTAGAATCAATACTATGATTTGACATGTCTTAACTCTATAATGGATATTAGCTTCTGCAATATGGAGTATCAAGTCTGTATATGGTGTAAAAAGACACTGGCAAGGAGATCCATGTGCTCCACGGGAAACTCTTTGGATTGGTCTCGTCTGCAGCTACAATGATGCTGATTTGCCTCGGATCATATCCTTGTATGTATGCAGTTTCAATAACATCGAAAGTTAATGATTTTTGCCTTTCTTGAAATAATATATTCACTAATTACTAAATACTATGAATCAGAAACTTGTCTACCAGTGGATTGAGTGGAGAAATACATCCTGGATTAGCTAGTCTCACAATGATAGAAACCTTGTAAGTCAAACACTTTTAGAAGGATATATAGAACTAAAGTATACGCAAAATTTAGCTTCTATAACTGTATGTGACATTTTCACCATTCCTATTTCAGGGATTTGTCCAACAATAACTTAACAGGACCTGTGCCTGATTTTCTCTCTAAATTGAATTCCCTGAAAGTCCTGTAAGTTACTTCCAACTTGAACTAGCATTATATATATATATATATATATATATATATATATATATATATATATATATATATATATATATATATATATATATATATATCTTGTTTCATGGAATAATAGATTAATCTTAGTTACGATTTATTATAGCAATTTAAAAGGAAACAATTTCAGCGGACGCATTCCAAAAGAGCTTTTAGCAAAGTCAAAGAAAGGATCATTGCAGTTGAGGTTTCTACTGATTCCCTGAATTTGAATACTATTATTGCCTCAGAATGTAACATTCATTCCCCAAAATCAGTTTCGATGATAAAGATTCTTGTGACACGAAGCATTGCGTAAACAAGGTCAAAAAAATCCTTGTTCCAGTAATAGCAACGGTTGCTTCCATCTTTGTGATTATGACAGCTCTCACCACCATATGGATGATAAAGAAACAAAAAGCACATGGTGAGAAACTCTACAATTGCATTCGATAACTTTGAACAAAATATTTTTTCGAAACTCACACATGCACGAATCAATCACATGTTTTAGTTATGAAAGTTCAGTAACTGAAAGATTGCATACAGAAAAAAGGAAAACAAGCAAGGGGTTGGAAATAAAAAAACAAAAGTACACATACTCAGAGATAAAGAGCATCACTGACAACTTCAAAGTTGTTATTGGGAAAGGAGGATTTGGTGAAGTTTACCATGGACATATAGGTGATGTTCAAGTTGCTGTTAAGATGCTTTCTGCATCATCTCAACAAGGAGACAAAGAATTTCAGGCTGAGGTAACTACCTCTCTTACATTATCTTATTCTGAAGTGCGACATTGATAATTTGCTTAAAATCACCAACAAAAAGATTTGTTTAGTGAAAACTGCATGGGTAATCTAACAAATTCTCTCGTATGTAGGCTTATCTTCTCTTGAGTGTTCATCATAGAAATTTAACTTCACTCGTTGGGTACTGCATTGAAGGCAAGCACAAGGGAATCATCTACGAGTACATGGCTAATGGGAACTTACAAACACATCTTTTTGGTATTTGTTATTATTGACATTTAGTGTTTAATTAGGAACTTACAAACATATGTTCTTAATACATCACTTTACAACCTTAACATGAATCTATTTACTAACACGTAAGAATAATTACTAATATTAAAAAATAAACTGATCAGATACGAGTTCAAAGGTCTTGAATTGGGAAGAAAGACTACAAATAGCGTGTGATGCAGCAAAGGGTTAGTAAGAAAATTATTTCAAATCTACTTACACATAATTTTCGGGTCTATATACGATCATCAAGATTCTTAATCATATGGGGTTATACTTTTTAGGTCTAGAGTACTTACACCACGGATGCAAGCCACCTATAGTCCATAGAGATGTGAAGTGTAACAATATCTTACTGAATGAAAAGTTTCAAGCAAAACTAGCAGACTTTGGGTTGTGCAGAGCTTTTCCAACAGAAGCTGCTACACACATTTCAACAGAAGTTGCTGGCACTCCTGGGTACCTTGACCCTGAGTAAGTTTTCTGAATCTTAAAGCTTATATTTATGGTGTTAATAATTCGGAAAAGGATGTGATTTTTGTTGTGTTTGCTTCTTTCGGTTGAATGAAATAAGAATTCTGGGTTGCAGGTATTACTTGTCATACAGATTGACTGAGAAAAGTGATCTTTATAGCTTTGGGGTTGTGCTTCTAGTGATAATTACAGGTCAACCAGCGATAACTAGATACGAGAATGACAACATACACATAAGCCGATGGGTTAAATTACAGCTTGCAGATGGGGATGTGAAAAGTGTGGTTGATCCGAGGATGCTGGAGGATTTTGATGAAGATTCAGCATTGAAGGCAGTAGAACTGGCAATGGCATGTGTCGCAGACACACCCAACAGAAGACCCACCATGAACGATGTGGTGATGGGGTTAAATGAATGTTTGGTGGCAGAAAGAGCTCGCCGGGAAACCAAAGTAGTAGATAGTTCAACTGAAATCGTATCTGTTGATCTCGAGGATGCAAGGTGATGAAAACCCAAGATAATGAATTGAATATAAAACCACATTCTTTATTTGTTTCTTGGGCTTCTAGGTTCTAAATTATGTATCCTTATAGAATGAGCGATGTGATTGCACAAGCTTTAGCTCTTTTTACTTGAGTTGTGCTCAATAAGTTGAAGAATTCCAACATAAAAAATTGGAGCTCTTGCAGCCTTGAAATCAATATGTTCATGAGGTGGTGTGTGTTTCTAAGATAATACTTTTGATTTGTTTTCATGTTAGCATTCCCATAAATGAAATCGTTAGCATATAAATCTATCATCTATGCAATTAATTAGATTTTCTATAGACAAAATTGCAAAAATTGTCCATGTGGTATGCAAATTTTTGAGGTTTTAGTCTAAACTCCAATTTTTTTGGATTCATAGTCCTTTTTGAGTGGTTTGAATGTGGAATTGGTCCTCTGACTTAACTTTCGTTAACTTGTTGCTGTTAACTCCTTCATGTGCTTGTCACGTGAGGGTATATTTGTCTTTTCACTTATAACGGACCATTTTTGCACCTAACAAAATATATTCCTCTGTTTTTGTTTTAAATTAATACTTATTTATTTCTCTCTCTCTCTCTCTCTCTCTCTCTCTCTCTCACACACACACACACACATTTGAGTGTGTTTACTATGTTAACACAAATACACAAATCCACGACAATCCTCTTGCCCTAAATCCACCACAATGTCTTGAACTTGAAACCCACCTTCAATCTCTACTCACTGGAGCATTCTCTGGAGCTGGAGGAGACAACGCCAACTCCATCACAAATCTCCTGTAACCTCTGCAAAACCCATCTTCCCACATCAACATCATGCATGAAACAATGGATAACCAATAAAGAAAAATCAGAGATGAAATCAAAGGCTATCTAACCACAACTAGAGACTAGAAGCCTAAACCGAATATTAACCACATATATAAACGACAAATCAGAAGTTTAAATTGATTATTACTAGAGGTGGAGATGAAATCTGCTCGACAACAAAAAACAGGTGGGATTGTCGAGAAAACACAACCCCAAACACCTCCTTCCTCGCATAATTGTTGGAACATAAAAGAAAGAACAGTCTAGAGTCCTCTGTAGCAACCATGTGTCTGTTACTATCCTTCTCAATCTCTACACCCTAATTGAGGGTCGGATCGTTGGAGATCAGTTTCAATCCCACCCTCCACCTTACCGGTCAACTTCAAAGCCAAACACCTTCTCTTACGTCGCTAATTTGCCTTGGCCCTTTTCCCATTGGCGTTTTCTGTCAGACAAGAGGAGTGCAACCTTCCTCGTCACCGCAGATTACAGCGAACATAGTTGCCATCAGTGATGAAGATTAAACCTTCAAAGGGTCGTCGATCTAGACAGACCCCCTTTTCCCTCCTCACGATTTTTGATCCACCACCAGACAACCCCTCTAGCTGCTTTGTCTGTTCTTTTCTTAATATGATGAAAATGAAGGTGCCTCCCTTTTTCGATCTTTGATCCGCCACCATACGACCTCTCTTGTGTGTTTTGCTTTAGTTGCAGGTTTAGAAGAATGGGCATTTTATGATAGAAGTCATCTCCACTACGATTTCACCCTCCGACGACTTCCATGAGGATAAATGTGTGTGTGTGAGAGCTCTTTTATTTTTTAATTATTAAAAAAAATAAGTATTAATTTTTAAAAAAAAAAATAAGAATGATATATTTTTCAGGTGTAAAAATAATCCATTTGAAGTGAAAAGACAGATATACCCTCATCTGAGAGGCACATGAGGGGGTTAATAGCAACAAGTTAACGGAAGTAAAGTCCGGGGACAAATTCCACATACAAACCACTCCAAAAGGACTATAAATCAAAAAAACCTGGGGTTTGGACTAAAACTCCAAAAAATTACATACCACAGGGACCATTTTTGCAATTTTGTCTTTCTGATAAGACACATATCATTATGGTATAATAGCCTTTGAAACCATAGCAAGCATATTGTAAATAAATTAAAAAAAAAAATAACACACTCTTAGATCTCTACAACATGAATATCTCATTTATTCATGAACTAGCTCGTTTTATATCAACAATACAATTAAACCTCACGACATAATTTTATTGTGCACACTCTTTAAGGTCGATAGTTCTTGTCCAATAGTGGACATAGGTGAAATTATATTTGTGATAAGACACGAATCATTATGGTATAACAACCTTTGAAACCATAACAAGCATATTATAAATAAATTACAAAAAAATGAACGCACTCTCAGATCTCTACAACATGAATATCTCATTTATTCATGAACTAGATCATTTTATATCAACAATACAATTAAACATCACCACATAATCTTATTGTGTTCCCTTATTAAGGTCGATAGTTCAAGTCCCGTAATGAATATAAGTGGAATTGGATGTTAGTTTATGATTATTTTATATATTTATATATTTCGGTTAAAAAAAATAAATAATAATAATAATAATAATAATAATAATAATAATAATAATAATAATAATAATAATAATAATAATAATAATAATCTTATTCTACTATCTCAACTGTAACAGAACACCCGAAAACAATTAAGAATAGCATTACAAACAAACTTGTATGACGCTAAGATTGAAAACCTAGATGAAACCCATTGAAAACATGGATGAATCCCTAAACAAACTTAGAGATTGACCGAAGAGAAACGATATTGAAATAGTTGCACTAAATGACCCGTCTTCACACCAACTTCAGATATATATAGCCGGGTCACCATTTTCTATGGATACAAAAGATCCACGTGCCCCTCAACTCCATCTTTCACTAATGTGAAAGGCAACCACAACTAATGACACATTACACTTCTTAGGTTGTGTTTAGCGCGTCACAACTAGCTAACAAGCTACCTTATTTTTCGAACATTTTTATGTTGTCGTGTTTGGCAAGCCAAAAATTAGCTTATAACCTAGCTTTTTGAAAAGTTACTTAGACTACATTTTTAGGAGCTTTTTAAGAATTTTCTCAATGTACCCCTTAATTAATTACCAAACGTCATTTTTTATCATCTAACTCCTTATTTAATTGCTAGCTTTTTAGCTATCAACTATCTTTTCAGTTAATAACTAGCTTTTTAACTACTACGCCAAACATATCCTTACTCTTACACAACATTACCTTACTAATACGTCCAGAAAATATTACCAAACTAACCATATTAAAAGTTGAAGCATACAGAAAGATACAAACAAGAGATATAATTAAAATGACAAGTTTGTTAGATGAATTAACAAAATATTTCAACAACCCCCCTCAAACTTAATATTTAAACTTATTCTTTACAGAATGATCTATGAAACCAATTATTTTTATAAGAAAATCATGTTGTTATGCAATTAAAGATACTTAATATATTTGCATTTTGGTGAGTTGAATTAATTTTAACAATCTTTAAAATTCCATTTGTTACCTTTTCTCGTATAAAATAAAGATCAACATCAAACTACTTAGTTTTCTCATGAAAATTTGGGTTTAAAGCAAGCTTACTATCTGAATCACTATCATGTTAACATGACTTAAGCCATTTATTCATAAATCATACAATGTTTTCAAAATCCAAGTAATTTCACTAGTAACAGATCCAAAAGTCATATATTTAGATTTTGTAGAAGACTGAGAAACTGTTAATTGTTTCTTACTTTTCCATGAATCGAAAGAATTTCCAACATCAACCAAATACCATGTAAATAACCTTTTTGACAATAAACATTTAGCTCAATCAGCATCCACAAACCCCATTAAATCAAAATCATTATAATTAGTTATGAAGATACCCTTACCTAGACTGCCCTTAAGGTATCTAGTAATCTAAAAGCAGGATTTAAAAGTGACATATGAGGTTTATGTATAAATTGACTCATAATTTGAACACAATAAGAAATCATGCTTAGTTATTGTGAGATAACTAATGCACCATTTTTTAAAAATTAAGTTATGTTTACCAGAAAGTCATCTCTATTACTATGATATTCACCAAAATTCATGTAGGAGCTCAAGGCAATATTTTCCTTCTTTTAGACAAATACTATTAGTGATATCAGTGACATTGACTCAAAAAATAACTTAATTTCCAAGCTCCATTATTAAAAGCTGAGTTGCAAGAAAATCTTTCACTTTTTTAAGTTCATCATTGTTATTGTAATGCCCCAAATTTGGGAATACTATATTTAATTATTTAAATTGTCTAAGATATATTTAACTAATAAAAAATGCATGAAAATTTATTCAGGAGACCTAATTTGTTAATCTTATGGTGTATAAGGGTTGATATAAGCACACATGAAACTTGTATTGTGAAAGTCGGAGGATTAAGGTTGATAAAAATAGAGCATGTGTGCATGTGCTATGTGAAATCAACGGGAGAGAGCCCATATTCTCCCCCCCCCCTTATCCGATCGAAGTGAAACCTTCAATAAATTAAACTCTAGTTTCCTCTCTTTGTCGTCCCCTAGCTCACCCATCTCCATAGCCTTGCACCAACAACGCTCTAGAGACCGCCTCTTGTCACCGATAAATTGTGGTATTGTAATCCCACAAGGTAAAAGAAGGGTACGAGATGGTGGAAGGCTCGAACAAGGGTTGCTTGAGTCAGGGTTTCAATTTAGAAGTATTTCCATTGGTTTCGTTTTCTTTTTTCTTGATTCATGCCTGAAAATGACATAACAACCACCATCGAGGTGGTGGCTGCCACCGCCATCCACCACTACCAAGAAGGGTAGGAGATGATGGATGGATCAAACAAGGGTTACTTGAGTCAGGGTTTCAATTTAGAAGTATTTCCCTTGGTTTCCTTTTCTTTCTTTCTCGATTCATGCCTAAAAATGACATAACAACCACCATCGAGGTGATGGCTGCCACCGCCATCCACCACTGCGACGATGGCAGTGGGTGGTGATGATGCTCAAACCTTATCCATGTCTTTCTGTTTAGTTGGGTGTGGAATTAAGTGTAAGAAAA